CATGGGACTGGCAATCTGAAACCGGAATGAATGGACGGCGTGGAAGGCAGGAAGGGGAAAAGGTGTCCTTTGCCCTTTGAAGTGGGAGGCCCAGGCCCTGCGGGAAGCTCCTGCAGGAACAGCACTGCGCAGGGAGGTGCTGGTCGTCGGCCGGGGCTGGAGTCCAGACTCAGTGGCCGCTCTTGAAATCCTCTTTGAACCTCATTTCCCCGATTATAACAAGGGGTAGAGCACCCACTTCACACTGGGGTCTGGAAATCAGATAGCAGGTGAGAAACGAGGAAAGCAGTTGTTTCTGCCTCACAGTGTCCAGGGGTTTAGGGAGCAACCGGCAGAACCCGTTTTCTTCACTCCTGACTCAAGGGTCCCCTCCTCAGACAGACCTGTACCCCACAGGACCATGGCCACAGCTCGGTTTACTGTTCTTTTGGGGCCAGAAATACCCTTGAAGGTGCTTTGGGGAAGCGTGCCAGCCGCGGGCAGCTGGGCTGTGATGAGTTCGCACGTCTGCACACACTGTTCCCTCGATCACCTCGAGGGCAGGACTGGTCCTGTGTCACAGGCCCAGTGCCCCCAGCTCCATGTCTTGACTCACACTGACCATCTGTGTTGTGTGAACAAGACTGGGATAACTGCGCTACGGCCCTCGGGGGTGGCAGCGCCAAGTCCACGCTGTCATCCCCTGTGTATAAATGAGAACAAGGTCACTGACTCTCCCACTGACAGCACGTGGTGAATCTACAGAAAGTCTCGTCCACTGCCGCCAAGTCCCCTACATCTGTCACTCTCCACAGCTCCCCGAAAGGGCAGCCAGAACCATGAGGATGCCTGCAGCTCTGGGTCAGGTAGGAGGGCTGACATGGGGCCTGGTGGCCTTGAAGGTTTCCCAAAGCTGGGTTATGTCCTCACAAGAGGTTTGCATCCTTTCTTCTTCTCCACTTGGCTTCCCCACCCAGTCTCTTTGGGGGCACTGAATATCGTTTCTGCTCCTGACATGGATGCCATCCCAGATGGCCAGACTCTGGAAAGTGGACCCCCGTACAAAACCTCTGACCTGGTGAGTGGTGTCAGCTTCCTTCCCGAAATCATCCCCCTCTGGAGAAGAGTCCGGGGTGGGAGGTGGAGGAGCTTGCTGTGTAGGAACCTTCTGGACCCAGAGAACCCACAGAGCTCTTCAGAAAAAGCCACCAGGGACCTCAAATACATCAACAGACCATGGGAAACCCTCCCCGTGACAGAGATTTTGTTGCCAGCGGAGCCGGTCACTGACTGGCGCCTGTGTTCCCAGGGTGCCCGGGCTCGCTCAGTCCAGCGTACAGCACTCAGAGGTGCAGCTGGGCACTGCCTTGACCTGCTTAAGGAACAGAGGGCAGGGCTCAGCCCTGTGAGCTCTGAACCCAGACCATCCCAATCCCATGAAAACTGATCCAGGCTGTGGCCCCTTGAAGACCCGATTACACATTTCCTGGGAAACGTCTCTTCCTTGTGCGGAAAGTTCCCTGGAAAATCCGAACATGCTCAGTGAGTCTGAGGCTATATCTGAGCAGGTGCTTCCACGGTGGTCTGACGAGATGCTGTAGCGGACCCCTTCCCAACCTGTATCGGGCTGCAGACAAGTAATAATTTGCTCTAAGTTGTGGTCACAATCTATGTGTTGCCCACGTGGACCGGCTGCTGTGCTGATTCTGTCTGGTCCTGATTTGCCCATCTCACCCCAAGGTCTTCGTGTTCTTTCTGATTTCTGGAGACTGGATGGTTGACGCATAGAAGAACACAGATGGGAACTGAGAGCTCGGCACTTAGCAAGGCTGGGCTGGGCCAGCTGAGTGGTGCGTGCTTCGTGAGTTGGGCAGGGAGCTCCCACCCACCCTCCTGGAGGGGGACTGGCTTTGGTCAGGAGAATAGCTGTGGGGAGAGAGGGCTCAGTGGGGTAAGCACAGGGGTTGGGCTATGCTGGTTTCTGTGAGTCCCCCAAGTGCTAAGCCAGCCAGTGGATGGGACCAAGTCTAGAGCGGAGGTTGCAGATTAGAGATCTGTGGGCCAGGCTTGGCCTGATGGTACATTTCACATGGTACAAACAGAATTTTTAAATTTAAATTAATCGCCAATGTTTTGAAAACAAACCTCCTTAAATCTGGATGTCCAGCTTCTTGTGAAAAATGAGACTATCTAGCAACACTGGACCTCCGTGGGCAGTCAGCCGGAGGCGCGGAGCAGCTGCCTCCTTCGGACAAGGCTCGCTCAGTGTGCCGGGACAGCATGCCCAAGGGGAGCAGTGTCAGCGGCAGTCAGAAGGCCCCAGACTATGGCAGTGACTGTGACTGTTCAGAGCTCTGCATGCCTTTGAGCAGCAGGCCAGGCTTGGCTCAGGGCAGGAATGATTTCTGAGGGCTGGCAGAAAGAGGCGATTGTTCGCCTCCGTTCTCGGCCGCAGGGCCGTGACTCATTCTTGCTCCCATTGCCAGAAGCCAAGGGTCCTGCGGTCCAGGATAACACAGTCATACAGGGCAAGTCTCTGCCTGCCCCAGTTCGGAAGACATGTACGTCCTCCGAGCACAAGTGGCATCGCATCAGCGCGGTGGTGCAAGAATCAAGTGTCTTTTCAAACAGCATCCACCAGATTTCGGGAAAACATCAACATGTGCAGCAGAACTTTCCGTGTGGGGTTTGGAGCTGGGAACTCACAGATCTCAAGCTCAGGTACCACCATGTCCAGCAAACACCTAAGTGGGAGCTGAGGTGCGTACGCATCCTATGACGTGACCTCAGAATCTGCCAAGAAAGGACACTTCCACACTCCTTTCATTTTACCTTTGAAAGTCTGGACGAATGCAATGAAAGTTATGAGTGTGAAGTGTGAAGTTCAGGAAGATCTTTAAATCCTAGAGGTGTAAGAAGAACTACCATATTCCGAAAGATATCAAGCCAAGGCATCCCCCCATTGGTACACGTAAGCCCCATCTGCTGCCACACCTGTCGCACACAGAAAGAAGACTGAGAATGCACAGGACATACAGGGTAACTGAGCGTAAGGCTTTTTCAAGAGTCTAAAATCCAGTCCACAGAAGGACAAGACTGACTCCCCCAGGGGGTGCTGGGAAGCAAGGTGACTGCCCGACAGACTCTGCCAAGGGAGCAGAGGCACCGCCCCGAGAGGGTACAGGGCAGTCCTGCAAGAGCAGCCAGGGCGAGCAGAGGGCTCGAACCCAGTGCCGCCTCCTCTGACCTCCTCTGACACAGTTCCTTGCCAGGGACTGCCTTCCGGAAACATCCACCTTCTGACAAGTTTATGACAGGTTCCCTTTCACATCCACATTTTCTTTTTCTGTCTGGGTTCTTTTTTTTTACAACACTCCATCATCCTCTTCCTTCATCCCCACCCCAAAACCACACCTTGTGCAGCCCTGAGAACTGGAGCTGGTGGACTGTCCTATGCACTCTTTGTGAAAACACTTTCCTGCCATTTGAGATTTTTTCTATCAGCCTATTTTCCTCCCTGAGTTTTCAAGAGAGAGATTCAAAACTTTTAAAAATAAGTAGAAAAAAATAAAATAAAAATATTCAACTTCTATTGCTACTCAGATTTTCTGGGAATAGGATGACCAAGAGAAATGGCACACAGTTTAAATAGAAAATCAAATGGAGCCAAGAATGTGGTCACTTATTAATCAGCAATGAACAAATAGCAAACTAGTAACAGCCTTTGAGAATGTCGGAACTAGGAACTAGTTTTTAGAAAGACATTTACATAAAAATACTGACTTTTTAATAAAAAAACCATTTTCCAAACACACTCAAACAAAGCTGAGGGCCACCTGGGAGCTAAGAGATTTATTCTAAAAGGAAAGGTCAGAGTCAAAGCCTCTGCTCATTACAAAACAATGTTAATTTTATGCTGATCACAGCAATAAAAAACATATTAGAACTTTAAAGGAAAGATTACAAGCCGTCCTCTGATCAAACCCACTCATTTGAAGGGACTGACTTTCCTTCTCTAAATAATGAGCGAGCCCCTTTCCATGCCAGTACCGTGCCAGGAGCTACAAAGCACGCGCCCGTAAACGCGAGGCTTAGTTCTCAAAATAACTGAAAACGCAAGGACGCAAGGGAAAGGAAACTTATTAATTAGACATATTCAAAGTTTTCATAAAATAAAATCTCTCGCTTCTCAATAGGTTCCTAAAAGACTTTTGATAAAAATTCAACGTTCTTCCTGAAAACCATAGCTCATTCTTTACAAGAGGTTAAAACTGTTCAAGAGTAGAAGAGTCCATTAATGATGACACCTTCACTTTACACATTTCTGTAAGTGATGGTAAAGACAAACTACACAGCAAATTGAAAAACGGAAGAAAAAACACAGTGACGTGAAGCAGACAAAAAAACTGACGACTAAATTGTATCTGTGGTGTGAACAGAGCTATGCACATGATATGTTCACACAACGAGAAGGACCAAAAGAAAAGAAGAAGACATTTCGGAGCTGTATCTGACTGGCAGAACAGCTAATCCTATTTTCATTTTGATGTGTACTGAATTATATTAAAATATTATTTATGTAATACGATTCATCCAAGAAGACTGCACAGAGTATGAAGGGGAAGAATGGGTGGAAAGGGGGAACAAAACAGCTGACCGATGGACTTCCCCAAACCCCAGATGCCACCTGCAGGCAAGCGGCGGCTCACGTGACACCGTGAGGGTGGCAGTGCCAGCAGAGCTCCTTCACTGAACCAGACTGGACAAGGTGCTGCCTAACCAGCCCAACAGGTTCTTCGTGCAGGCCAGCCCCGCCCCCTTCCTCTCCCTCCAGCTCTGCAACTCTCAGTGTTCCGGCTGGTTTCACCTGCTGAACCAATACCACACACCCAGCGGCCAATCGGCCAATCGGAGCTCCAGGGAGGGTGGGAAAGTAAGAGCTGTGACCCTGACACAGAAAGGGGGCTTCGACTCAGGAGGTCCGGGAGAACCCGAAGGCCTTCAGCCCCAACCGCCCCTACCTGTTGGAGCATCTCTTCAGCAGCATTGAGTTTCACCTGGTGTCCTTCCAGACACACCTCCAGGTCCCGAATCTTCTCGCCTTGGGCTTCCACTTGGTCTGTGAGGACGCTCACCTGCCGGGGAAATAAAGCAACGGTGAGGAGCAGGAATGGTTCCCCGCGGGAGGTGAGCCGGGAGGCCACACCAGATCCGTACACAGGAAGCATGGCTTTTCTGTTCGATGGGTGACAGGGCTGGGGGAAGTGTCCTGGATGAAGGACACTCCAGTTGTTTTCTTACCTGGCAGTCCCTGCCTCAATACCGTTGGTTGAGTGTCCTGCTCTTGACAGACTCCAGAGAAAAACACCCAGCAGCCAGGAGAGCTGCCTCTGAGCTGAACTCTTGCTCTTATTCCCCTTCTGGAGATCCCTCTGGCAGCCCAACCTCAAGGCTCGGCTCGGGCGGGCTTGCCAGGGCTCCTGCCCTCACGTGGAAGAGGGCGATGAGAGCTGCGTGGAGACGAACCAATGACCTCACCTCTCTCTGAGGGTGTGAGAACTGCTCACCTATCAGGCGAGTGTTCCGCAGCAATTAAGAAATGTGGGGCGTAAAGGGCATGTATTAGCACTACAAAACTTGGCTCCGGGAAGGTTTTTGTGCTCCACAGGCCAAAACATGACTCTAAGTCATAAATATACACAAGCACACGGCACATACAGGGGCAGGGGAGAGTCATCTGTCTGAAGAACACTGGGAATATTTATTGGAATTTAGAAAAATACATTTTTGATACATTACTTAACTGATACCCTGAAATATATACTGAACGGATTTTTATAGCCTGCTCTATTAGCAGACTGCCTCGGGCTCCTTTTCTCTCTTTCTTTTAAAAGGTGACTCACAGCAGGAAGGTGAAGAAATCAAATGCGTGACCTCCCAAAAATAAAGCAATCGATATCTGGTAAACTGAGATCCCTTAGACCCTTTTGGTGTTTCCCCAGTGGCTGAGTCACTGCCGTTTTCATACAGATCATCCTAAGTGACCTCTCACCTGCAAAGAATCGGAGCTGGAGCACAAAGGAGTTCATGTGAATTCACTTAGGAGTGAACTTAACGCATCTAAATTAATATGGCTACTTTAAGCTTTCCATGTTAATGTTCCCAAGTGATCAACGAATCACTGAAACATTCCTGGAGTTGAGGCAAGGTGTGCAAACATTTCAATTCTAATCCCAAAACAGGCACCTTCTGTCAACCAGGCCCATCTTTAACATAAACCTGTGTGGGTTTTTGTTTTATGTATTTATTTATTTATTTATTTTTTTATCCTCTCCCGAGGACATTTTTCCATTTTTTGTTCAGGTAGAGTGGGAGGGAGAGAGAGGAACAGAGAGAGAGAGAGAAACATCGATGTGAAAGGAACACATCGAGTGGCTGCCACCCGCACAACCGACCAGGGCCGGGGACAAACTGCAACCGAGGTACGCGCCCTTAGCGGGAACCGAACCCGGGTCTCTCAGGACCGCAGGCCGACGCTCTAACCGCTGAGCCAAACCGGCCAGGGTGGGTTTTTGTTTTTTAATCTTTACTGCCCAATACCATCAACAGTCTGGCTACTAACTCTACTTTCAAAAGGGTAGGATTCCAGGAGGTGGCCTTTGATCCTGGGTTCCAGAGTTTCGGTTTGGGAAGGAGGTGTTCCAATTATTCTTCCTCTGAGGATTAACTCATAGTCTGCACCACGCCCTGGTCCTTGGGGCCGTGTTCTGCTAGTGCTCAGAGGAATAACATGTGGTCTGTAGCATGTCATAGCTTACAGCTCAGCTGCACGTCCTACTCAACACACACAGGGCTGCAGGGTCCTTACGAGCCGCAGTACTCACTCTCAGCATTCTGAATGGAAAGGTGTAGAACACTGGGACAAGAAGTATAAAGATCCTAGAATGTGACCTTTAAAGAAATATTTTTTAAGTCCTTATTACATGCTCTGCATCATTTTAGACACTGGGGAGATACAGAAATTAAAAAAGAAAAGCATAGCCCAGCCGGTGTGGCTCAGTGGTTGAGCATCGATCCATCATGCACCGAGAGGTCCCTGGTTGATTCCTGGTCAGGGCACATGCCCAGGTTGTGGGCCTGATCCCCAGTGCGGGGCGTGCAGGAGGCAGCCAATCGATGTTCTCTGTCATTCATGTTTCTATCTCTCTCCCTCTCCCGTCCTCTCTCTCTCTAAAATCAATAAAGAGAAAATTCTGAAAAAGAAAAGCATCGCCTCAAGAACTCATATTCTAATGAAGATGTAAAAGATGTTGGTTTTGTTTGTTTTTAACGAATCCTGGAAACAAAGTATTTTGTTCTGTGTCATTTCCCTGGTTCTTCTACAAGTCAACCCAGGAAAACATTCTGGGCCAAGGGCTTCGATTAATTCAGTCTGGCTGAGCTGCCGTGTGAATTAAGCAAGAGGCCTTACCACGCGGAGGGTTTGTCTAACCGCCTCCGTGGGGCCACTATGAAACAGTGGTGATCACGGGAGAGCAACTCTGAAAGTCTGTCCTCAGGCTCCAGGCAGAATGGAAAGCACTAGGACCCACTTTTTTTTTTTTTGGTACCCCTAGCGGGAACCCAACCCAGGACTCTCTGGTCCGCAGGCCTACGCTCCACCCGCTGAGCCAAACAGACCAGGGCAGGACCCACTTCTGACTTTTCTGATACACGGGTACCCAAACATGTTAGAATTATTTAAGTAAGGGTTATTTAAGAATTTGGAAGGTTTTTTTAAAAAAAAAAAAAACCATTAGCATCAAAGAGATTATCAAATAGCACTTCTTTATTAAAATAGAATCCTCTAAATAGGAATGTGCTATGTCAGCCATGAAGGTTCAAAAGTTTGCAATTTCATAGTGTTTGCTGCAAAACTCTAAACTGGACACTCTTTCATTAATCATCTCATCGGGATGGCGTTTCAAATTACACATTCCTCAAAAGGGCCGTGCTTTAATGCACTGTGTAATCCGGTGCCCACTACCTCTCTGAAGACAGTTCCCGCCAGGCTAGGCTTCTCTGCCGTCACCAGTGCCAGCCACATGGCCCCTTCTTGTTTGCCCCACACACCGAGCACACCCTGCCTCAGGGTGTGTGCGTACCCACCACTTCCCTGGCCTGGAATGTGCTTCTCCATCCAGGCACCCAAGGGACTCCCTCCTAACTCCCTCAGGTGTCCTCCTATCAGGGGAGGTGTTCCCTATCCACACAGTCCTTATCCTGCTCTACTGTTCTCCACAGTATTTATCGCCACCTGCACACACACACACACACACACACACACACACACACACGGGCGTGCACACAAATGGAAGCCAGAGAACAGGGACTGATTTAATGTTTTCTTCACGGCTGCACCCCCAGCACTGACAACCAGTGTCTGCCATGTCGTAGGTACTCAAATATTCTTTAATGAGCAAAATAAATGAAGTGAAGGGGAAAACACGAGGGTGCAAAATTTTATAACTGTAAAACTGGTTTGAGCTTAATTACGTAAGATAGGGGTAGAACAGGATTAAAAAGGCTAGGGGGAAAAAGGCCAAAGTGTTAAACTCTTTTTGACTTTCCAAAGTTTCTAAAACTATCCATTTATTATTCTCACATTCATAAAATGGGGTGAAATGAATAAAAGAAATAAGGTAAAATGAAATAAAAACAAAAACAAACATACCGCAGCCTCTTAACTCTAGTGCTAACTCCAGGGTTCTAGGCTAAAGCCCAGAGTCTGGGAGGGCTCCAGAACCCTACCTGGCCCTCCCCCATTCCACTACTAATCTTGCCCACCACCCGTCAAGCTTTTACAAAAACTTGGATTGGAATATTAATCTTATTATTCTCCAAATCATCAATGCATACCAGACCCTGACGCGTGGCCCATCGCCGCAGCAACAGGCCTCCGTAAGCCCTGTCCTACCCAGGAACGCATGTTTTCAGAACTGCAAGTGTTCCGGCCTGGCCAGTTTGGCTCAGCGGTTGGAGCGTCCACCTGCGGTCCGGAGAGACCCGGGTTCGGTTCCCGCTAAGGGCATGTACCTCGGTTGCAGTTTGTCCCCGGCCCTGGTTGGTCGTGCGGGTGGCAGCCACTCGATGTGTCCCTTTCACATTGACGTTTCCCTCTCTCTCTCTTCCTCTCTCTCCCTCCCACTCTGTCTGTACAAGAAATGGAAAAATGTCCTCGGGTGAGGATTAAAAAAAACAAAAAAAAAAAGTGTTCCTTTGACTGTCTTTCTCCATGAAAAGTTTTAGAGCTCCTCTCTTTGAAACGAGAGAGTTAGCAAAGGCTTTTTACCCCATGTTACCACATAGAGAATTCGGCTTCAAAGTTCAAGTCCAGATCCACTTCCACGTTACTTGAGCCTGATCTCATTAACATGCGCCCTTGGGCCCAAATCACTCATGGCTCTGTTTTATTAGTGACCTGAGGACACCGCTTATCATCCTTGCGAGAGATCCCCCATGAATCAGCCTGGCACAGAGCTTCCAGTGTATAGAGATGGATGCTCGGTGGTCCTTGATTAATACATGAATACATTCACAGCCCCCCAAAGCCCGTTCCAGAGTTAAAACGGTGCCCCCAGTAACTTTCTGCTTTGTTTCAGGAAAAAGTCTTTCTAAAAAACATACACTTTGGGCCCTGGCAGGTTTGCTCAGTGGTTAGAGCATCAGCTCGAGGACCAAAGAGTCACGGGTTCAATTCCAGCCGAGGGCACTTACCTCGGTTGTGGTTCATCCCTGGCTCTGGTCAGGAGGCAACCAATTGATGTGTCTCTCTCACATCGGTGTGTTTTTCTCTCTCTCCGCCTCACACTCTATCTGAAGATAAATGAAAAAATATCCTCAGGTGAGGATTGAAAATTAATTAATTAATTAATTAATTTAAAACATACACTTTGGGAGCAAGATAAATCCAACGGAGAAAATCCTCGTATTTCTGTAACACTTACGGCAGCTATGAAGTCGGAGGTAATAGGATATGCTGACTCCCACCAAAAGGACCCACCTGTAATATGAGGGACTCCTTATCTCCTTCTAGACGGGCCAAGCGTTCCTGGTATGTTTCATTACTAGCAGCACTGTGGTGATTTACCTGGGACTAAAGAGAAGGGGGAGGGGAGGGAAAAGAATGTATTAAAAAATTGGAAAAACACCTTGCCAACTTCCAAATGAAGTATGCAATTTGTGTGGACAGTTTCACTGATTATATGTGCAAACCATCCACCTAAGCAGGAAACACAGGATTTCAAAACTACTACAAGGAGAACCTGACCAGATGCTGGTGATAGTTGTGCTTTGGAAGCTGGCAAAACCACCCCCCCAGATGACCTCATCCTTGGCCCGAGGCCTCCGTGGAGACCCAGACCCAGCGGTGCTTGCCTTGCCTGGACGTGTTGGGGCTGGTCTAGTTGGGGCACAGCCTGCCAGAGGCGCCAACAGCAATATGGTTCTACTCACTGAGGAGACCAGGGAGCTGGCACTGTTCACCAAGGAACTATGAGGGAACAACTCCTGCACAGATCTTGGTGTCTCTAAACGCTCACACCAGGGTTCTCAGAGCCAAGGCGCACCTCCCAGCATGGAGGTCCGTCCTGAATGTGGCACAGGGGACAGAGGATGCCAACTGCAAGGCCCGTCATCTCCTCACACGTCCGTTCAGGGAGTGGTCAATCCCACCCTCCGCTAAGGGCTCTGGCCAGGCTGGCACACCGTGTTTCTACAGAGCTGGAGCTAGGAGAACCCCAAATAACCCAGAGGGATCTAAAGGGCTAAGCAGAGAGAACACACAGTACATGGAAAGCAGCCAGAAAGCATGGAAAAGAGAGGAAAGGGAGAGGATTAGAAATGGCAGAGGAGAGGCAGAATCTCATAAAGTGCCCTGATCTAGAGACAGGAGCTGCAGTCACTTTCAGGGTGAGTCTGACCTGGGTGTAGGCGGGGAGGAGGGAGGGAGCTGCTAATGGAGCAGAGCTGGCCCAGCGCCAGCAAACACTCCCGTCCTCTATGCTGAATGGAAGGCCGGAACCAGAGGCCCACCATAGGCCGCTAAGGGGCTTGACACTCTGGAAAAGTAAATCTTATTACTAAATGGGGAAGTGACAATCATAATAGTCTGGGCTACTCCAGAGGCGTCGATGTTCCAGTGTTCACGAGGCAGGTACCCTCTACCCCAAAGGAAAGTCATGAGTGCACAAAGAGGGGGTCAGAGAGGAACCCGGGCACAGGGGACTGAGCTGGTTCCCTTTTCCTAAGCCCACTTCCCCACATTCCAACCCTCAGAATGGGCTTTCCAAAGCCACTCCATTAAGAAAGGGCACTTCTTCCCTGGCTGGTTTGGCTCAGCGGTTAGAGCAGAGGCCCGCGGACCAGAGAGTCCTGGGTTCGGTTCCTGCTAAGAGCATGTACCTCAGTTGCAGTTTGTCTCTAGCCCTAGTTGGGGTTGTGTGGGTGGCAACCACTCGATGTGTCTCTCTCACATTGATGTGTCCCTGTCTCTCTCCCTCCCACTCTATCTGAAGATAAATGCAAAAATGTCCTCGGGTGAGGATAACAAAAAAAAAAAAAGAAAGAAAGAAAGGGCACTTCCTTCCCTTGTCCCACCCCTGGGTGAGGGCAGGTGGCAGGGCCAGGCCTGGCCTGAGAACAGAACCTGGGCCGAGCAATCTGCCTCTAGGCCGGGAGTCCCCCCGTGAGAGAGGCACTGGCACTTGCTGAGGTCGCAGTGGGAGGGGCCATGTCCCAGGGTGGCTGTGCCAGGCACACGCTGGACAGGACCCAGGGCCACTGCCACACTGCTGCCCCTGCACCAGCCCCTGTGCAGTCTGAGTCGTGTTCCTGGTCATGGAAGCTCTTTCACACCATAGACAAAGGGCCTTAACAATCGCAAATGGCTTCTTTGTGTTGGTGGCAGTTAATGTCGCAGGAATTAATATTCCAGTCCTCACGTGGTCCAACTCTCTGACTGCTATTTAAGGATGTAATTATAACCTACGTTTCTCTGAGTCCTACAAGAAAGATAGAAAACTAATTCTTAACAGCGGGTCAAAAGCTTCTCTGTCCAAAGACTCCCATGATGGTGGCTTTCAGGGGTGGAGAGAATAGAAAAGGACCCAGGCACCCAAGGGAAGCTCTGAATGTCCAACCCAGTGCCAGTCAGCATGTGCACGGGGCGAAGGAGAGAAGACCGAAGGGAAACTCCCTTCCAGAAGACTCCAGCAAGCCACCGCACCAACGGTGCCTCCGTCCAAAGGAGTGCAGCAGGTCCCTCAGCGTGACAAAAGGTCAGCCCGTACAATCACCCGCAGAAGCAGTTATTTTTACTAGTGGAGGAAAAAAGTAGAAGAGTAAGAAAGTTGATGTGGGTCGGAAGTTTAGTTAACACACAAAACGCGTGCCATAGAGTCTATAACACATGCAGGACTAGAAGTAGATAAAAAAGAAATCTGGGTCTACCCTACTGGTGAATGGAAAAAGGGAAGCACGATGGATAAAAGGATGCACACAGATTAGTGCAGTCAGGTCAAAGTGACTGCCTAGGAGAAGCACAACTCCTGAGGAGGGGAGAAGCTTCTCCTTTTCAGGGACATCGTGCGCCGCGGGAGAAACCACCTTCATGATGACGTCCTCACAGTGAACCGAGCCCAGCGAATCTCACTGCTTTCCTGCAATGTCCTCTCAGTAGGTTAACAGATAAAATGGGCCCACGGCCCAAGCAGTTCTGTGGAGACCAATACAACGAGGTGCAAGCACAGTGCTAATACATCGCCAGCATTTAGGTCGTGTTTACATGCGCCAGGCACTGTGGAGAGCCCCTGACATACAGTAACTCATTTACTCCTTTCCATAACCCCATGAGATGGGTATGGTTTTTATTCCCATTTTACAGATAAAGGAACTGAGGCACAAGTGTATGAACAAGGCACAAATGCGTAGTTTGCCCAAGTTACCATGTACTAAATTAGTAAGCTTTCTATTGTTATAACTTCACCGAGGAGCAGAAAAAGTACAGATTTTACTTTACATATTAAGATTAAATGAGAACTGACTTAAAATAGGGTTTGAAAATTCTGTGTGACCCTAAATATCCATTAATTGCTTTATTCACATTATAGACAATTTGCAGCATTTTAATACTGAGGTAAGGCCCTGGCTGGGTAGCCTAGCTGGTTAGAGTGTTGACTTGCTAAGGTTGTAGATTTGATCCTTGGTCAGGGCACGTACAAGAATCAATCAATGAATGTATACATACCTGGAATAACAAACTGATGTTTCTCTCTCTCTCTCTCAAATCAATAAATAAAATGTTAAACATAAATAAAACATGAGGTAGATGTGTATGGACCATTATAAAAATGTAAGGCATATTAATGAAAATAGCAAGATGCACAGACTCATACAGTGTGGACTAGAAAACAACACTATAGACTCCATAGGTATTGATATCTATATGAAAGTAAATAGATCAAGTGTCTGGAAGGTTACATAACAACCCTTAACAGTGCTCTCTCCTGGGGAGGTGTCTGGAGGACAAAAAGCTGGGAGGTCTGGTCAAGTGGGTTTTTACCTTAACCATATTTGAGCTTCTTTGGAAACTATGTTTATTTTCTTGAGTAATTAAAATATATTTTAAAATCTAGCAGCACTGTTTGAGTAGCTAGAATAGTGGTATCTGATACTTTATTCCTCCCACAACGGTCTCGAGGGGATACCCTCTCCCACTCAGCCACGCTGGCCGGACAACAGTGATGTGCACGGCAGAAAGGCCCCTCCCTCACCCCAAACCCTGTTCCAGAGAAACAGGCATCTTCCTCTCAAACAATCTACCAGAATTACTGCTGTTCTCTCGCACGCTTGGGAAAGACATTCGACAGCAGTGTCGCAGACAGAAGAGGCTTCTGGTGCAGCACAGAGCCATGTTTTCACAGGCTAGAGAAGACTGACATCTGAATAAAACTGACAGCTCTCAGCAGAGCACAGGCCAGAATGAAAGGTCACCTCCACTTGAAGAAGAACCTGGAAAGCATCTGAGAACAGGATCAAGAAGATTATTTTAGAATCATCCTGTTGAATGCTAACATCCATCAGCCCAAAGTGAGGATTTGAGTGGAAGTGCATGAACGTATACTCCCTGTTCCAGTATTTGGGCAACATGTTCAATCACTTCCTGTGGTCATTCTTGAATTGCAAAATGGATGAGTTATTAAGGCATAAAAGGCCACGTGGTTATGTAAATGCCATTCCTATTATTCAGAAGTGTGTTTAAAAAGACAGAGTTGCAACACAGCTCTGCTCTGCCCTACTTGAAGAAGAACTTGCTTTGGCAGAGGGTATGCTTCCTTCCTTAATTCTACAGTGGATTGCAATTAAGTGCTTAGATCAATACTGAGACCACACACCTGGGTCCCCGAGTGATTCCAGGTGTGGGAGTCTCTGAACAGTCTTGTCCATAGTCTCTATTAGGTAAACCATTGATACAGTGATTGCCCAGCTCTCCATACAAGGAGTCAGAATGAGAGAACCGTGCCAGCTATCCATGGAGGAGAGAAGTCAGAAAGAATTCTGAAGGATGCCACATGCTCAAGTTTCCATCCCTCCCCCGCTGAGAGAGCAAGTGTGTTTAAAGGAGAAGTTCTACACTGTTCTATCCTATTGAGGATGCTCATTCCATTGATGAATATAAATTAAAAAAGGGTCATTTCTACTCAACTAAGGATGGTAGCCCCTACGCAGACTTGTCCAATGGTCAACTAATGTACTAAACTGTGTTACTCATCTATTTGAACACATTTTCTCCTCTTCTGTTTTGATGGTTATTTCTACAAATATGATGGAGGGAAAATGAATCTTCTCATCAAAACTTCCCACGATCACTGCTTCTGATTCTATAATCCAGCTACCTATAGATATTGTGAGGGACTGAGATCTGCAAAATGGCAATGACAGATTGGCATTTCCATGTCCTATTGCATGTCCACCGAAGACAGCCACAGTGTAACATACTTCCTCTCTCTTGTATCACAGGACTGAATCAGGACGGGGAGTTCTTTTTGACATGTACATTGTCAATAACACAGAAACTTTAGTCAACATTATTAAAAC